TTTGTTTTTCTTCTTGAGGTTTAGAAGAAATCTCAACAATGTGCTCCGATTTGGCAAGATGTCAAGTTTTAAATATGAACTCGAACATCAAACTCTCCAGAGACTTAATTATCGGAGCTGTTACCCACTTTAATTTTCTAGCTCTATACTCTTGCATGCCAGCTATTGACTCATTTGTTAGTAAAAATAAAAATAGACGTGCCATTCTACCAAGAAAACAATCCTAGCAATCTTTGTATCTCAAAAGAGATTTCAACAATGTCTCAAACTCCAAAAACTTAATTATTAACTGTTATCCACATGCATTTCATAGCTCTATATTCTTAATGCATGCCAACAATTGATTCTGTTCTCTCCATTTTTATTTCTCCCAAGGAATTTCAGAAGCATCTGAGAGTTGATATAAAACTGGGAACTCATTTAATCTCCAAAAGCAACATCTGAGCAATATTTTTTCCTCCGGGGAGGACAGGAGCGAATACATTACAAATATAAAAATATTTCAAGACACTTCACCCAAGTTCACTTCTGAGGCACTGCTCTTGCTGCAAGTGAATCACAGGTTTTTTTAAATGAAAATAATCTGCTAAATGAAAAACATTTTTCTAACAGCTACATATTTCAACGAGATTAGGTCATGCTACTCATGTATGCATTATGCAATCTTGCCAAAAATTGCCATGCATTCCAGAAACAGTCACAGCAAGTCATTCAGCTATTATTAATAAAAGCCAACCATCAATGTCAAACATTTAAAGTACAACTTTAAAGCAAAATAAACGCATATACAAGCTGAGAACTTTACATGATCCAACTGAACTATATCCAGGATCATGAGTATCGCTCAAAGCCATAGTACAGGGTCACAGCAAGCACACATTCTTAATTTAGAAAGTACTTTTGGTTTTTATCAGCCTGCTGTCATTGCTGTTGAAGGGAGAAAGATAGATTGCTAATGGTCTAGAAGTCTAGTGGAGAAGCTTACGCAATGTTGTTCTTCCATAGATGACCAAAGTGGCCATATATGGAAACGCACTCCTTGGACCTACAGTACGAGTTGTGTCTCTGATTATCAAGATCTACTAATCGTTTAGAAATCTCGTGAAATGAGATCGCAGAGCAGTGTGTAACGAGAGAACACTGTGCATGCTATGCAGTCATAAAATTACACTTGGATGCGGGA